CCCTATCCTTAAGTAGCGACACGTCAGCTCAAACGCCCGGATGAAGGCGAGAGAGTTTGGGTGTAGCTGGGACGGGGCCAGCTCCAAATGCGTAAAGACCCCGGTCTGAAAATCTGTGAACGGCAGCCGCAGCCCTAAGTCTTTAAACGCGATCTCGTACATCGCAAAGCTGTAGTCCGGGTACATTGAACAAATTCTTGCATTGGTCGACGGAAGCATGACCACGAAATTCTGCTGGAAGTCGGGCTGGTCCTGCCCCTCTTCAATAGCGGTGAATGGATGTCGGTCATCCCGACTGTATATCGACGCCGTCCCCCGAGGCTCGGCACCCACCCATTCCAGCGACGGGTCGGTCATGGTGTCTATAAGGGTGGCCGATTCGTCGGCACTCTGTTCTTCGCTATCACGACGACCGGAGGAGCTCGGCTCATCCGCCATGGTTACCTGCAGAGCACGGGAAACCAATCAGATTGAGCATGAAGTCCTATGCTCGACATAATCATGTCGTCCATACACGACTACACAAGTCCATTTTCACAAGTGGATGCCTCCCCGACTCTCCTGAACCCAGTGTTCTTCCTCAAAACCAACTGCGCGGCCACTCTTCAAGCATGTCGACCCGAGGTATGAACATGGCGAGCCGCATTATGAAGCCCACGGCCACGACCATAAACATACCGGGCACCGTCATGAATCAGGCGCCCAGGATCATGAAGACCCCGGGCAGCTCTGAAGTTTTTCACTTAAAACTATGAATGTGTCGGCCACGAATATGCGTTTGCCGGTCCTAGACATGAATATGTCGGGCAAAACACGAGTCTACCGGGCTAATCCCACACGCACGGTCCTAAAACATCCACAATTTCCAGGAATCATGCATTCTAAAGCGGAAAAATAAAGAAAGTAGATCACTTACTTGGATCAAAGTTTGGGATTTGGCTAAGAAATGAAGAATCTGAGACGGGAAGTCGCAACTGGAGAAAGTGTTGAGAGCGGCAACGGAGAGAGCAAGGAGAACGGAAAACGTATTATGGGGCCCAAGGATCCTATTTATAGTGATGACGTGGAATACCAAACGTCACCTCGTTCAACCACGAACTCCATCTCCTCGACGCGCTGCTCCCAACGCAATGATGACCCTACCCCCCTAGGGTGGCGGCACAGCTCCCAAAAGATGCCTCGTGTGCTCGACCGACGCGCCCGGTACGGATCCTCCACGCATCCACCACCGAGGACGTTCCCGAGCACGACACGAGGAGGCCCCTCGAGGGCCCACGCCTCCCTTCCGGGCACGAGACCTCAGCGACGGAACAACTTGGTTTCAAGTCATGGCTCCTCGCAAAGGAACCACGACTTGGGGGGCTCCTGTTCTGGACTGGGCCCGACAGGCCCAAAAGCATTACTAAGGCCCAGTCCAAAGGGACTCACTAAGGACCACACTGGGCAAAGGGGGTCACGTCCATGCCCGACACCCTGATGTCCACCTCGACATCTCGATGTCCAGCCCCACGCGATGAAGTCATGCTCGACAACCTGCCACCCGGCTCTATGTCCTGGCGTCCAGCTCGACACTCGCTGTCCAGCTCGAGGTCTTGGCGTCGAGCTCGGCACCGTGCTGCGCAGCTCGACATGGACTCGAGCTACCCGGCTAGGGCAGACTCAGTCCACCGTTGCCCCAACGATACTCCGGAAAGACCGCGTCTCCGTCCGCCCGCACTTCACGCAGCATATCCAGGAAGGGGACCACGTGCTGGTCCCCACTACCCACGTAGAACCTGGCAGTTCCTCCATTGGGCCAAATCCGCCCGGCCCAATGAAGGAACCTTGGCCCAGCGCTGGGGGCTATAAATACCCTCTGTTTCCAGAGGGTCAGGTATTCATCATTCTAACCTCAACTCTATTATCTGCTCGTACTCCCACTGACTTTAGCATCGGAGTGCCTTGCAGGTACCCCCTCCTCCTCGTTCAAAAAGCCTTCAGCTCGGAGCAAGCCGTGACGGTCCAAACCTTCTGATCAGGTCAGATCAGATACATATTTATCTACTTTCTTAATATTTTTCCAAATTTGGTTGTAAATACCTTGCTTTCCAGGATTGTTAGAAGCAAGATAGTTGGAAGTGAGAGGATTGTTCTCATTTCAACTTGGTTGTTCACAAGAGGATTGTTCTTGTGATTGTGCTGGTCTTGTACAAGTCCTAACAATAGTAAAATCTTTTTCGTGTTGAAAGGGGAATGAAGTACCTTCAGATTATGAAGGGAACCAGGATACATCCTCGTGTTCTTTATTTTTCTATACTTTATTGCTTTCATAACATCACCATAAATCAGAAAAATAATTCCTTCATCAGTAAAAAATCGTTAAAATTTTAAAGTGTCTAATTCACTCCCCCTCTTAGACGCGCTCATTACTTATATATTGTACTAAGCGTGCATTCCCCGACCATATTCATCTTTCTGTCGGTGAGAATCTTTCCATGTTGAGCGGCCAAAATTGGCATCCACAGTGACCGGGTTGTCTAGTTGGGTGTTAAGGTTCTCTTCCAGGGTGATGAAATATTCATCCATGTTCAGAAGTTCCTTCATGGTATGAGCTTCCCTTATTCCCAACTTCTATCTGAAGGGGTATCACGCGGTAGACCATTCTCAATTATCCAACATTTGAGACCTTTATTTTCCCATTATATTTCCTCGACCACGTGAGTGAAATAGTATATGTAAGATCGTAAAATCTTTTTCTTTTACTGTGTTATCCCGCTTAGGATAGCTACTTTTATTGGTTTCCTTTTTCTGGCTGTAAATGGGCACCAAAGCTTTTGCATAGGTCGGTATATGATTTTATGCTCCCGTTCTATAGAGCGTTAAACCACAGCCTCGCAGATCCCATCAAAGTCAGTGAAAATAATTTGCATTTGGAAGCTTCTTCGGCATGGATGTAGTTCAAACGCTCATTGATGAGTTGCACCTATTCATGAAGATCTCATTTTTTGTTATAATCGTTTAGTATATGAGGCTTCTCCAATGACTTTTATATTCTACTATCTAAATGCAGGTTCATAAATACGTTTCTACGAGTTTTTGGTTGATGATTTCTCTCCATGGTTATGTGAAGGAGCATGACCACCTTTCTCTCCCTCGGGGCTATGAGGAGGAGTTTGTTGCTTCTTTCTCTGCTAGAATTTTCCCGAATTCAGAGCTTTATCCCTTTGTGATGTGGTCGAATCGGGGATGGCAATTTACCCTCTCTTTAAAAGGGCTTCCCGAACAGTGTTCCCTCTTGAGGCACGTTGTGTAGACTTTCTTCAAGGAGAACCAATCTTTCCTATATCGCTTGTGAATTCTATCGTCGAACAATGTTATACATGTTGTTCAGCAACTCATTAGCGCCTTGTATTTCGAGATTAGCTTGCAATAGTTAAAAACCAGACAAATTTTCAAGTCGTGATGTTGGCAGAGGTATCAGAGGCCTAAACAAAGGTAATGGAGTATATCATGTGATTTGAGTAGGTTTTAGTAGATCCTGATGGAACAGAGTGTCTGCTACCACTTGATCTATAATACCTTAAGGGGGGATGGGGTAGTCGAGTTATCCCCGCTTTAGCGGTAGTGGCAGCGGAAGTTGCTTAATGTAAAACGGTGGAATGATTATATTTAGATCCAGTAATTGCTAAAAGGTTTGGAAGTAAGGAATTTGGAAAATCGGAAAATCAAAGTTGACTTTCTATTTGACTAGATCAAACACAGTGGATCCAATGTTTTATTTCAAGAACTCTGATTTGATAAATTAAGGAGGCTTTGAATTGATGGATCAAAGAGAGATTGCACAATTGTGGAAAATGCGGAAATCAGTAGTCTTCCATAGATTGTGTCACTGTTCCGTTGCAAAACTAGAATTGGTTGGAGCATTGGTGGTTGCGGAGGACAACGATAGATATGAGCTTTTAATGCGGAGAAGGAGGGACTGACATGCAAAGTTATTACTCCAACGCCTAAGACATTATGTGAAGGAAAATAGTGAATGAAATTTGAAATTGAAATTGTGGACCTAAGTTCTTCGCGCATATCCTTTATATAGTGGAGCACTTATAACAAACTGTTATTTGTTATGTGTGATATGGAGAGTCATTGAATGTATCTTGGACTTAGATCGCATGTACTCTTTTATAGGGTAGTTCTCCGGTCCTGCGAGCAATCTAAATAAATTATAACTCCTCTGAATAGTTATCGATGGTTATTCTAGTCGATCCAAAACACAATGTAATCATAAGCATCATCAAAATAAAAATATAAAAAATATAAATTACCTAAAAGCGCAACTAAATTCCATTGTTGAGAATAAAGATAATTAAATGAAAAGATAAACATAAAAGAAAAGGAACGTATGCAATTTTTTATAAAAGATTAATCCTTGGAGTGATGTTAGTATTAAGGTTAATCCTTGTTTTAAAATTAAAGAAGAAACATGAATTTATAGAATTAATTGAATAAAAAATACTAGTAATATTGAATCTTTTGTAACAAAAATTGATAAGTATCCTAAAATCAACCCGCCCCACTCGACTTCCAGCCTGTTATTTGATTGGTTGTGTGGTTTTAAGCACAAGACACATTGAATGTTAGCAAATATTGTCTCATCTTTTTTATAATAGAGAAGCTCTTTTTAATAGGGTTCAAACCCATGATCCTATAATTATAATGGAACAATCTTATCGTGAGATGTAATCAAGTTTCTAATAATTATTACTAGTTTGTTTATACATAAAAAAAAACTTATGAAATGATAAAACAATTCTTAAAATTTAAAATTATCGGTTAATTTAATCGTGTTGGGTTGATAACTATGAATAGATATCCCAATGTTTGATTAATTCCATTACAAATGTTTGGTGTATTAACAAAGGGAAAATATGTTTTATTCAATTTTTTAAATAGTCAAAATTTTGTGACAAAATTAAAAAGCTTAAATGAACAAATATTAGGGACAAATAAGTATTAGCTCTGTATTAATTTTTCTGTAAAAAAAAACTGTATTTAATTTCTCTATATTGATACAAAACAAACCACTTGACCCTTCTAATTCTAATTTTGGCTTGAATTACTATAGTATACAAAGTTGAATGTAGCCAAATTTCTATGAAAATCTTATTCAAAATGTTCATTGGAAATAACAAACAAAACAATTGCATATAGCATCTGATCAAGATGCTAAAATAACCAGAAAAATATGTTGATAAAGTTTATGTAGAAAGAATCTTCTTCCATCTCCATTCCAAATCCAAATTGGCATGGTGATTTTCTTCAACACCAAAACTACTTTCTTGCACATGGTCCTCTCACTCACCAAATCATATAGCTATAGTAAAAACTCATTGGTTTCTCATACACCACAACCCAAACCTTTAGCTTCTGTGCCTTTCATGATTCTTAGCCTTTTGCAAGAAGTCACAAACATGCTGCAAATAAAATAAAGTACTATTAGTTTGTGTATTAATAATTGAATAAATATATAGACCAAAGAGACGAATGGTTTAAATTGATCCTCTGCAAGTAAGTTTATAGTGCATCAGACAATCTGATGCACTGTAAAATCGACTGCAGAGGATGTAAATACGTAAATCATAGACATGAACGCGAAAGCTAACATACAAGAGTAAGAGAACTTACTCCCATGGAACATCTCCGACTAACATCCAATCACCATCCTTGTCTTCATAAGTTGGTGCATATTCAGATCCCTTGTAACCTTCTCTTTCAGAATACTCACCTAAAATAACAAAATTCTCAAATTCATTTCAACATGAACAAAAAATTGTCTCGCAAACTTACTTCATCACAATAAAACTAAGACTTGTCTATTGTTCTGAGTCGTAAAATAAATAACAGATAACTGATAAACTAACTTATAGCTGATGGCTGATAAACTAACTTATAGCTGATAAATTGATAAAGTTTTGTTATATGTAATTCTCTATGAAATTTTCTCTCAATCTTACCTATGGTCAACTTGAACATGGTTTCTAGAGCTTTGAGTAATTCAGGGTACCCTCCATAGACCTTTATATCAATCTTTCTAAGGTAAGGGGCACCATCCATGCTCACTTTTACAAAGATTCCACCAACATCAGCCTCTTGCAAACTGTTTTTCCTGTAAGTTCTAATTGGTGGCCACCCAACTATCTTTGCCCTGCAATATCAAAATCAAATTCAACCAATTAGTCCAAAAGAAAACCTTCAATTCTTTATCTGGATCCTCTACAGCAGAGTACGGTGCTGCTGCAAATTCCACGGCAGCACGGTGTTTATGCCGTAGAGGATCCAGTTTTGTTAGAGAATGTTTTAGAAACTTACTTTGCAGGAGGGGCTGCAGAAGAACTCTCCACAATATTCTCATCATTTGTAACCTTGGAAATTGAAACAGATTCCTCAGAAGTTTGAGGTAATTGTCTTTTGTTGTTGTTCTTAACACTACCATGTGTGATTTTCTTCTCGTCTTCCTCTGTTACTCCTGGTAACCCCAATCTAAGCTCAGTTGCCTTGAATTCCATCTTCCTTATTTGCAAATCCTCAAATTCAATAACAAAATATACAGAGATTAAAGTTTAAGGAATTAGATGCTATACAAGAAATGTGTAACACTTGTATCAAAAGTGGGAAATGCAAGGTTGTGTTTTATAGGAATAATGATAATCACTTTGACATTAACATAAAAAAGAAAAACATTGTTTTGAATTTAATGCATAAATTATGGACAAAGGCAAGCTAAGTTGTCGGTAACAGCATCAACAGATTTAAAGTATTGTGTCACCTTATTGGGGTGACAAGAATGGGACATACTCACCAACCATTTGGTCTGGAATTTGGATGGTTGAGATTGGTTTGAGAATGAAATCTTGAGCGTTGATTTTGAGGAAACATGAGCATGTGAATGGAGGGTCCCTTATGTGAGTTGGTTATGGGAAAGCTATGGTTTTGTGTTGAATTGCTTTGTGGAGGGCTCATAATGTGTCACACGTTTTCTATGATCATCAAATTCATATCTTCTTTGTCATTTCTTTTCTAATAATGGTTGAGAATCAAGTGTGAGGAAGAAGTCTCACATTGATTATAAAAGGGAAGATTGATCACTTATATATGAGAGAACCCACTCATATATAACCTTAAAGTTCTCTCATTAGTGACTCACACTCGAGGGAGAGTATTGAGAATCAAGTGTGAGGAAGAAATCCCACTGGAAAGGAAGAAGATTAAACACTGTGCATCATTTTAGTCTATATAATAAAATTCAAGCTACAAAGTTGACCAATAAATTTATGGAAGGATATTGGACCAGGTCAAAATAAGTTTCATCGTGATTTTCTTTTTAAATATTTAGACGCATCAATTCTATAATTATTTTATTTCTCAACACTTTGATATGATTGATTTTTATGACTAATTTATTTATAAAAAAGCTATATGAAAACAATAAAAGATACCTTCTTACATTACAGTACAATTTAAAATTGGGTGTGTATATTTTATTATATATATTTTACTTTTGGCTGCTTTGGAAGTTGAGCAGATGAAAGTGCAATGTATGAAAAGAGGAAAGCCAAAGCATATATTGCACGATTGCTTAAAGATTTAAATTGATTTTTGCCTAGAAAAGCACAGCATAATAACATGATTGCTTAAATTTTGAAATTGATGTTTGCCAAACAAAGCAACTATCAAATCGCTAATACAGTTACTCAGTCATTACACATTGGATCTCACATTCAAAGACTAACTAATTTTTTTGAAGAGTATTGAGTATCGTTAAAGAAACCTTAAAATAATTGATTATGGTGGTTAGGCTTAAGAGTACATGAATGAACCGACTTGTGCTAATATATATATATATATATATATATATATATATATATATATATATATATATATATATATATATATATATATATATATATATATATATATATTAGAGTTATTATTATTTTACTTTATGTTATATAGGTCATTTCGGGTTTATCTTCTGTAAAAGTTTTTTTTTATAAAAATAATTTTGTTATTTCAAAACTAATAATTTAACCTTTAAAGTTAAAATTTGTAGGTAAATTCAAAAGAAAATTTGCAGAAAATCTACAAATTTATTTGCGGATTTTGATTTTAAGAACTACAATGTTAGTATTTTAAAATGACAACGTTACTTTTATAAAAAAAAATGACAGGAGTAAACTAAATGCGGTCTATATGGCAGGAAGCAAAGTGGTAATAACCCTATATTTTATAGATTATTGTTATGAGATGAACAAATAGAGAATAAATCCAACTCAATTTAGAACCAAAATATTTTACTAACTAGTAAACGGGTAAATCTCCACACTGACGTACCACATAGAAATAGGGGCTCGTCTTAACCTCACATATTAATGCTTATCTAACAAACTTTTACATCTTATGACGGCTTAACTAGTGATGCTTCTAATTGTCTCTCCTATATAAACATGACTTAGAATTACGCTAAGGTATTATTCTCATTCACACTTGCATAATTTTATCTTTCTCAAATATTAATTTGAAAGTTAGAGTATTAACCTTCTAAGTCCCATATTTTTTATCATCAGAACCATTTATCACTGTGCCAAAATTCTTTCTACAGTGGTCATCTTCACACTACGATCAATTTTTGTTCCACTATAGAATAGTGACACTTTGTGGGAGTCGTTTTTCGATTCTCACGAATTCTTCACCCATTTTCTCATATCTACTTAGTTGCACTATTACAATAGCTTATATTAACTGCTTCTGCTAACCCCTCTCAACACCGTAATAATTTATGCTTTCAGTTCTGGTCATTCTTAACTTCTTTGCAACTATTTTCTATTATTGTACCTAACGGTAGCATCCAAGGAAATTAGATATACAACTCACCACAATACAGTTAGCGTGTCAGAGGTTTGATCAATGATTACGGTGCTTCAAGATACCATCACACCATTTCTCACTCTCACGACGAAAGAGCCACCTCATCACCAAGATGTACATGCTCTGATCCTAATCACTTCATCAATTGCAAGTCTGTGTCAGGTTTAACCTCTTCAATCGATCGCTACAAATTCTCTTCTACTTTCAACTTTCCAACACCAATTTTCACGCCATCTCTGCAATAACCTCCTTTTCCACCGCCATTTGAATCCTCTAAATCAAAATTGTCACACGACTTCCAACAACTTCAAGCCACTTTGAGAATCCATGGTATAACACCCCAATTCTACCCGACAATTATTATAAAATCAGAGTTATAAAAATTCAACAAATAAATCAGGATGCTACAATTTCAACTTAAAACAACTGCATTCCTTGCAGATACATAACTCATTAAACTTGGATGAACCAACGACAACATAAATTAATCCTTTAAAACCAACAACTTCTATAACTACATAGCAGAATCAAATATTCAACTTAAAAGAGTATATCATCTTTGTCCAACTAAACTACTTCAAATAATAAGTATTTAACAAACAACAACTTAAGGTTCAATCAACTGAAATAATAACAACAATAAAACAACAAGCGTTCATCCCCCGAGTGTTACGAATCAGAGCAATGACACCGACGCGAACCACTGAAGCTAAACAACCTTCACTCTGGATTACTTGCACGTTACCAACATCGAGGTAACATTCAAACAGAAGGGGTGGGATATCAAACAATATAATCAGATGTATGATAATATTATATTAGAATTAGTCTATGCAAAATCACCACTTCACAATTTTAAACAACATCAATCACAACAAAACATCAATGAAACATAATAATTAATTAATCAATATGACAACTCAATATGCAACTTGAAATGCAATTTGTTACTATGCACATGCATGTGGTACCAGCGGAGCATAACTCCCAACTTAAAAATGGAGCAGAACTCCCAACTTAAAAATGGAGCAGAACTCCCAACTTAGAAATTGCCAATTAATAGAGGCATCAACAAGGCATAAGCCTTGAACTTAATATTTTGCCAATCTAGGCCAACTTAACGAGTATCAGCTCCTACTTGATATACGATGTATGCGACACAACATGATTGTAGCAACAACAACGATAAACAATAACTCAACATAAATCAATGTTGGCCATAAGCGTATAACATCAACAACAATTCAACTTTAATTCAACATTGTCCGTAAGCCTACAACTCAATAATTCAACTTAATTCAACATAACTCACCATTACCCGCAACTTCAACAATTAATAACAACAACACAACAACTTACACATGCCAATAATATTATTAACACGATCCTACTAAAATACTTCTACTAAATTATTCTACTGATAAGTCTTTTTAATAGTTTTCGGCTAAATTGATGAAATTATTATTTTCATGCTACTTAAATTATCTCCACTGCTACTATATTTTAGTTACTAATGTTTATATTATCTACTACAGACTCTGCAACTAAAAACTATATCAGTTATTAATGTTGTTGTTTCTATTATCTATTATCCCAACAACTAATACAATTAATTCCAACATTATTATTATTATTATTATTATTATTATTATTATTATTATTATTATTATTATTAATCAACTAATTAATTACTTAATAATAATCTAACAACTTATGCCAACAATTCTCAACATCTCACAACTTCAACAATTAATCCAAAAATAATGTAATTAATTAATTAAATAAATGGGCGTTATAATTCTCTCCCACTTAGAATATTTTCGTCCTCGAAAATTAACTCGTTGCTACCACTCTTAATGCGAACTTCACATCTAACTCTCTAATCCACAAGTCGTGTCTGGCAACACTTCGACTAATACTTTCTCGACATAATAATAACTCAACACGATTTAAATCAAATACACACATGCTAATTATTCAACACATTCGCGACATAATCGTTAATAACTTATCAACCACTTTAACAATATCTTGACATATCAATATTTAAAGTAGTAACAACCATAACACATACACAATTTCGTTCCTATATATATATCATCGTATCACCCTCATAGTGAAATCAACATAGCCAATATAATCAACTTCGTCACATTATGGAGTACTATTTATCCTTTACGGTAACCAACAACAACATCACAAAAACGGGAACAAAATCATTATAACATCAACTTAACATTATAATCAACAAATATACACACAGCTCACCATCAACCAACAACCACATTAATATCCTTATAAAATCAACAAATGTTTACGAGAAACACAGTACCCTGGCACATCATCCCTATATCAACAATCGACCAAATCAAACATGTAGATCAAGACATATAATTCCCATAGGCTTCTGACATTTAGTCCTTCACTTCTAACGAGTCGTACATGCATATCAACTCGCCACATCACGCTTCAACTGCGCAACTCTGATCATCTATCTTAAGTCACCGTCCTTATTAAAATTTCCGTCAATTATCCGATTTACAAGCTTCAATCTAGTTTCGGACTTCTTTAAGATCCACCATAAAATCGTTGTTCACTTGATATACTTAATCTTTCACTTTGCGACGTTAGCTCGCATAAA